CCTCGCGAGTGCTGGTTCCTGCCCACCGCGCTGCTCTGCGCCTACGGCTTCTTCGCCAGCCTCAGGCCGTCCGAGCCCTTTCTGACTCCCTACCTGCTGGGGCCCGACAAGAACCTCACGGAGAGGGAGGTACGCGCGGAGGCCGGAGCGGGCACCCGGCGCCGAGTGTGCGGGCAGGGCAGCGGCTCGGGAAAGGGGGAGTGAGAAGCGCTCCGGCCGCGGGAGCCATTCTGGGCGGGAGTCCCATTTTCCCCAGTTGGAGGTCGGCTTCGTGCCCTCGCCGTGATAATTCAGTTTCCTGTTCTCGTGGGGCTGGTAGGGCGCGGGCTCGGGACGCGGGTCGGGGGACCCCAGTGCCCTCGCGCTTCGGGGGGATGATGCCCCGCGGCTTAGCCAGGCTCTGCCCAGACTGGTCCAGGAATCTCCCCTGGGGGAAGGGGGCAGTGTTTTGATAAATACGTGAAAACAGTAGGCTGTACTTTGGACATGGCAGAGGTTTAGTAAATACTCGTTGGCTGAAAGTAGAGAGCCACTGCTTTTGTGAAAGGATCTTCCCTCCCCTTCACCCCTTCCTGGATGGAAGTACTCAGTAAGGATATTCCGGGACGATGAGAGTCTTAATTTGTCTTGCTTTTTAGCTGGTCGAGGTTGTGTCCAAGGATATCCTGCTCCCCTCCCCCGTAAGCCCCACCTCCTGGGATAAAGGCAGACGGTATCACGTAATTAGCACTTAATTACCGTTTTTCTCGTATTGTGAATTGTTGGGGCTTCACAGATACTAGTTTGCTTCTCAACTGCATGGTAAGGTCTTTGAAGACTTCGTATTGCTGCGATGCTCAGGGTAATCGAGAGCACATAGTCCAGGATCAAGAACTTTTGCTGATTGATTTTCCCTAGATGAGGACTCATAAGTACATCGTGTACTTAAGAAATAGTATGAAAGTGCTTGGTCATCGCCAGCACTTGCTTTTTGTAGAAGAAAGACATTATATAAACAGAAAAAGAAATTAAAGCTAAAGTGCTACCACAGAACCAAAGTAAAAACCCTCTTCTATGAACACAACACAGTGAAAGCTGCAGCACTTGTTAGCTGCTCTTTTTCTCTCTGCACTGTCTTTTACTTCCACCCTGCCTCCCTGTCCCAGTTGCTGTGAAATACTCCTCTCTTTTAAACCTTAGTCTTCCTCCCGTGATTAGTAGTCAGTCACCTCTTTTGAGTAGTAACTGACTAACCCTGCATAACAGGTCAGAGCAAAAGGTGGCACTGCCTGAATCATTTTCATACTGGCAGGACATAATTACTCATAGTCCGGTGTTGTTGCAATGCGCCTTCATTTTCAAGGGCTCTTGAGAGGGAGTTGAGAGTGTTGAATTCTGGATTGAGGACTTAATTTGCATGTCTGACTTTGTTTCACCTCTAGCAAGTATCACTGACTTTTTACCCAACCTCAGATTCTGCTTCTCAGCCTTATGCATCACTGCATAAAGGACAGTAACAGTTATTACCTGTTTGAATTTTAATACTGTTTTAAAGCAATAATAAAATGGAAAGGGCCAAATTTTGTGAACAGAATGATTTTGCAAGAGGAAAATTACACTGACATGAGAAAGTATGATGATTCTGCAGACCAAAAACAACCACTGAATCTCTGGTGTAGCCACTGAGGCAGAAATTATACTGCTTGTGAACTCCTGACAAAGTTTCATGTGAACTGCCAGGTGATCTGCACAATTTGTGTGCCTTGCCTGACTGAAACAAACTGGGGAAGAACGTGCACCCAGTGTTGATATTTGAAAGCTGATCTGTTTTGTCACGTGCCCTGGGTAGAGGGTTGCAGCGTGTTGGTGCTATCATGATCATGTGCCCTGTCTTATCAGAAAGATTTCCAGGGTGAGTGAAGTACGTTTAGGGGACACAAAAATAAAGCAATGGTGCCAGACTCAGTAAATATTTGCATGCTTCTGTTATTGCACATTAGATGAGGAGGAGGGTGGGGTTTGAAGAGAAATCTAATAGTGCTTTGGAGAAGAGGTGTCTTTAAGGATTTTTGGATCATGGCTGGTTCTGGTGGTTGGGCACAGTATGGCTCTGCTCTCCCTGTGGAGCACCCTCTTTTTTATTTTTTTTTAATAACTCATAACTGAAATTAATAGAACAACTTCTTCCTGGCTGAGTGCTTGCCTTCAATAATAAGCAGTTAAATAAAGAATATTGCATGATTTTTAAGCAAAGCTAATGCTAAATCGTATTCAGTGATGTTGGCATTCAAGTTTGTATTTCCCCCAGAAGACTGCAGAAGGGCCAGTCTGGATTAAATAGAGCTATTGTTAACTAAATCCAAAGACAAAAGGAAGGAAAGAATTTCCTCTTTCTACTCTCAAAGGATTTTTTTTTTTAACCATTTAGGAAAAGCATTACCTTTAAAACAGATACCAATTTATAAATTTAAAGCAGGTTAAGATTTGGCTGTATGCCAAATAACTTTTTATCTCTAAACATTTAAATGTGTTTTATACTTTCATCATTGCAGCATGTGGTTTGACAGACATTTACTATCTTTCTTTGATTCTTTAAAACATTCTACCTTATTCTGTCTGATGTTTGGATACTTACAAAGTTTGATTCTCTTTTCTGTTGTTGTTGGGAGTCTCACTCTGTTGCCCAGGGTGAGTTGCAGTGGCATGATCACAATTCACCACAACCTCAACGTTCAAGCAGTCCTCCTGCCCTAGCCCTCCCAGTTGCTGGGACGACAGGCAAGTACCACCATGCCCAGCTAATCTTTCTTTCTTTCTTTCTTTTTTGTAGAACTGAAGTCTTGATATGTCACCCAGGCTGTTCTCAAACTCCTGGGCTCAAGCGATCCTCCCACCTCAGCCTCCCAAAGTGCTGGGATTATAGGTGTGAGCCACTGCCACCTTCTGCATACCCATGCTCTATATTGACCTTTAATAAAACATGTGATTTCTTCTTGGAATAATCTTTACATATGTCTGTTGATATCTTTTTGTTAGCTTCTAACTTTCCCATCCTTCAAGGTCTGTCTCAAAGAAGCAACCCTGTGTTCCTATTTTCTTTTTTAATACTGTATGTATGTATATTTCTCACAAGGTTCACAACTCCTGGAGAGCTGTGGCTTTATTTTACTCTTTTTTGGTCACCTCCCCCCCCCCACAGATTGAAAACAATGTTCTGCAAATAGATGCTTATTAAATAATTGTTTAGTTGAAACTTGACTCTAAATTAGAGCTTAAAACTGAATGTCTGTTTTCCCTTGACTTTTTGTGTCTCAAAAAAGCATAAACAAGCTCTGATACAAAGAGTTGTGACAGGTACCTTGATTATAATAAAATCAGTTCCTTTTGCTCACATGGCAGTTGCTACCTGAGGTGAGAAGTGAGAGTATGGACTATTAATAATAGTCTGTAATTGGTGCATCTTTGTAGGAAGTTTTCTGTCAATATTTGAAGTATCTGTCTAAGAGGGATTTTCTAATGTAATGAGAAACACTGAAAGAGAAAAGGATCTGTGTGTTCTTTATCTCTTCACAGATACCCTATAAAAGCACCTCGATGCAGATTAAGAAAGCTACTGCAGGCATTAGAAATAATCTTGGAAGACAGTAGTGATCAATAGCAGTTTTCTGATGGAAGAATCCAGGCATTTTAGTGTAGTGGATTCAAAATATCTGGGTTCAATTCCTTCCTCTGCCAATCCTAGCAGTGATAACTTAGGATAATTTACTTCATCTTTTTCTAAGGCCAAGTTTCCTTGGATGTAAAATAAAGATGATAAAAGCATTTATGTCTTAGGGTCCTTGTTTGGATTGAGTGGAGGTAACTTAACCCTTTGTACTTGGAGGCATCTTGCAGATCACCTGCCAGCAATTTGACTGCACTTATTTACAAAATAATGAAAAATGAATCACTTCATATTGAGTAGTATAGCATTGGACCTGATTATTCTATTGTAATGACATTTGGCTTATAATGGAATTTTTGGCATTGATTTATGATTTAAAAAAATCAAAATTTTATATCTTTTATTTTTCTAATGTGTGGTAATGTGTGAAACAGTCGCCACCATGCATTGCAGTTTCATCGATACATGTTATGCAATAGTAATTTGTTTGACAGCTTCCACCTGGTGTTTTCCTATATGAGCAGACAATGCAGTCTCATTTTCTTCCTCTTACATTAATAATATGTAATTTATTGTCCAGTCTGTTGTATGAAGATGATGTGAAAGGATGCACTTGTGATTTCTGAAGACCACTTCTCAACTGATCATTCATATCTCAGTATATATTCCATTTCTTTATTTGCTTTTTTGTGCAATTTGAATGGAAAACTTCAAGGAAACATACACTTTTGAAAAGTTTGCGCTGGCATAAGTATAATCACCAGCAATCTCTTTATGTTCCTTCTGAGGGAACATCAGAGTGCAAAGGGTTAAAGTGCTTAGCATGGTTTGTAGCACATCAGTAGAAGTTTGCTATCATGATGCTGATAATATAGGGTGAGAGGGACATTCATCTTGGTTTGATGTCTCTTATAGGAGAAAATGCGGGTCTCTTATTTAGAATAAGCTAAAGAGAACCTATCTGGTCTTTTTGTCCCTACTTGCCTTTATTTTTGTTTTTAGTTGGCATTGCAAAAGTGGCAGTGTTGTTTTTTCTCATCTTCGTTATCTAAATTGTGATTTTTGTATTAGAAGTTGAACTAGACTCATGACTATAAATACTTTAACTTGATAATTAAAAGGGTAGGACTTACACAACGAAAACTTAATAGTTAGTTGTTTTGGGACAACCATTACCGAAAGTTACATAACATGTCTAAGCACAGACAATATTATTGGAGTGAAGACGTAAACCAAAGTCCCAAAACAAAAGAAGATGGAGTATTGAAGGGAGAAATAGAGGATATTTTTAAATGAGAGGTCTGATGTCTAGTAGCTCTGTGGTGCTGTGCTGAGGAAAACATGTTGAGGAAAATGTGAAGGCAATGCTGAGTCAAACAAAGGAGGCAGTTTCAAACTTTAGAAAACTAAAGGAGTGTTTCTGCAAAAGTACAGACCAAGAAGGAATGGGAAGGTGTTAACTGGAACACAAATGGAAAAGCCTTCCTGCTTCATAGCTCTCATCTCCGGTTGACCCTTGCCTGCTTTGGTTTTGAGAGATTTCTTTGGCAACCAAGAGCACTTTATTCCTCATTTGCTAAAATTTCCACATTTTAAAATAAGAATCATTTCTACAGTTCTTGATTATTCATTCAGGCAGATAGTCAAGTGCAACAAAATTTTTTGTTTAAGTGGAGGTTGCTAGAAGATGTCCAAACATTAGACCAAAATTCAAGAAGATGAAGCCATTAAACCGATCACTTTTGATACATGGCCAGTCAGAAATCAAGTCTGGAATATATCTCAGAATATGGGGATTATATTTTGCTTTTATAGTTCTCTGCACTGGCAAAAGATTTTACAATAAGTGTTTATTGTTCCTCTAAAACCTTAGAAAAATTAACTCAGATTTCACTTGAGTGAACTGAGGTATACATGAGAGTTAAAAAGAAAATTACTCTTGGTCTCAGGATATTAAAGTCTAGGATTACATTGCACCAAGACTACTTTCTAAAAAGCACCTAAAAATTGAGGCCACTCATAAAAGGAAGGAAAAAAATCTCCTACAGTAGTTGTCAGTGGAAGAATGGGGATGATAGCTCAATTAATTTAGTTAATTCATACTGCCCTGGTGATCTTCCCTCAGCTTCTGTCCTCTGTACTTCAGACAATGTGAATAAATAAAGTGGAGTAAGTGATTTACATGTAGTCTCATTAAATATTGCAACAAACAACCTCATCACGTAGGTTTTACCCCTCTTTTACTAATAATGAAGATTGAGGCTAAGAGAAACTAAAGAATCTTGCCTATAATTCACACAGCAAGTGATGGAACTGAAATTTCTGCAGGGATCTTTCTGTTCAAAGTCGATTTCAAAAGATTATTTCTACTGTATTCCAATCTTAAAATAGTCACTAAAAGAAAACAGCAAAATGTCTATTTTTTCATATTATAAACAAGCAAAAAGAAGGATATAAAAGTTAACTATAATCTTGCCATTCAGAAATAATTATTCTGTCAAGACTTTCTGTCAGATTTACCATCTTTACTTATTTCTCTGCTCCCAAAGAAACAGAACTTAAAATCAGGAAAACTTAATCAAACAGTAGTATTAAGCCTTTCTATCCTGTGTCTAGAAGTAATAATTGACAGTGATTCAATTTCCAAAACAATGTATTGAGACTAGTGTCTTCCAAACAATATGCTGGCAATTGGATGGGTTGTATAAATAAATGTGGGGTCTACCCTTAAAGAACCTACAAGACAATGGTTCTTGAAACTCTGGCTCATATTAAAATCTATGAAGGTTTTGTGCTTTTTTGTGTGTGTGTTTTTTGAGTCATGGTCTCTATTACCCACACTGGAGTGCAGTGGCACAATCACAGCTCACTGCAGCCTCATCTCCTGGGCTTAGGCGATCCTCCCACCTTAGCCTCCCAAGTAGCTAGGACTACAGGAATGCACCACCACACCCAACGTTTTGTTTGTTTGTTTGTTTGTTTGTTTGTTTTATAGAGGTGAGGTCTTACTATGTTGCCCAGGCTGGTCTTAAACTCCTAGACTCAAGTTATCCTCCCATCATGACCTCCCAAAGTACTAGGATTACAGGTGTGAGATAACACGCCCAGCCTTACTCTGGGAGGTTTAAAAAAATTAGGCTGGGCATCCAAAATGTTTAAAACTTCTTGGAAGATGTGCAGACTCGATTAAGAACCAAAGTTATGAGTTAATTGGAGAAACTGATATATAAAGCAGTATTGAGAGCTTTGAATGTTGTGATACAAGTACTATCAGTTTCAGCAAAGTCTTTCTGGGTAAGGTAGTCTTTGAACTAGGTCTTGATGAATGGGAAGGATTTATTAGGAAATAGATGATGGAGATAGGAAAGGATATTCCAATGATCTGAATTGTTGTCAAGGTTTCTTTGGTTGGTCAGGATGAGGTATTAGTAGGTTGTTTTATAAGAATACATTGTTTTTTGTGCTTTTTTTTTTTTTTTTGAATTGGAGTCTCACTCTTTGTTGCCCAGACTGGAGTGCAGTGGCATGCTCAGAGCCACTCCAGTGTCAACAGCCTACTGGCCTTAGGCGATCCTTCCGCCTCAGCCTTCCAAAGTAACTGGAACTACAGACGCACGCCACCATGCCCGGCTAGTTTTTGTGATTTATTGAAGAGGCGAGGTCTCACTAAGTTGCCTAGGCTGATCTCGAACCCACGGCCTCAGACAGTCCTCTCGCCTCGGCCTCCCAAAGTGCTGGGATTACGGACTGAGCCACTGCGTTCAGCCAAGAATACATTCTTTCTGAATATTCCAGGTTCTTTGATCACTAATGGTTTTTATTCTCTTTCTGCCAGGTCTTCAATGAAATTTATCCAGTATGGACTTACTCTTACCTGGTGCTGCTGTTTCCTGTGTTCCTTGCTACAGACTACCTCCGTTATAAACCTGTTGTTCTGCTACAGGGACTCAGCCTTATTGTTACATGGTTCATGCTGCTCTATGCCCAGGGACTGCTGGCCATTCAGTTCTTGGAATTCTTCTATGGTATTGCTACAGCCACTGAAATTGCCTATTACTCTTATATCTACAGCGTGGTAGACCTGGGAATGTATCAGAAAGTCACAAGTTACTGTCGAAGTGCCACTTTGGTGGGCTTCACAGTGGGTTCTGTCCTTGGGCAAATCCTTGTCTCAGTGGCAGGCTGGTCTCTGTTCAGCCTGAATGTCATCTCTCTGACCTGTGTTTCAGTGGCTTTTGCTGTGGCCTGGTTTTTGCCTATGCCACAGAAGAGTCTCTTCTTTCACCATGTTTCTTCCACCTGCCAAGTCATGAATGGCATCAAGGTACAAAATGGTGGCATTGTTATTGACACCCCAGCTTCAAACCATCTTCCTGGGTGGGAGGACATTGAGTCAAAAATCCCTCTAAATATGGAAGAGCCTCCCATGGAAGAACTGGTAAGTTTTGCCTTAAAATGTCTTCTAGTGCTGCTATGGGGCTGAACCAATGGTGAAAAACAGACAGGAAATGCCCTCTTGCTAGATCTTGTATTTATTTGGATTTATGTTTTGTCTTGCGTTGGCTCATGGTTCATTCATTAATTCAAGATATGGATTATTTATATTGGGTATATTAGGGATGACAAATTTATTTTTCTCTGGAGTACATGAACTCCAAAATCAGACTGATACAACATTACATTGTTCATGTCATAAATGCCTTGGATTGCAGGATCGAGGGTCTGTATCGTCATCTCCATCTTCCTTTTTTTTTGAGTTGGAGTCTTACTCCGTTGCACAGGCTGGAGTGCAGTAACTCAGGTGATCCTTCCTCCTCAGTCTTCCAAGTAGCCAAAACTACAGGCACGTGCTACCACGCCCAGCTAATTTTATGATTTATTGTAGAGATGCGGTCTCGCCAAGTTGCCCGGGCTGTTCTTGTACCTATGGGCTCAGGCAGTTCTTTCACCTTGGCCTCCCAAAGTGCTGGGATTACAGGCTTGACCCACTGCACCTGGCCTCATCTCCATCTTTCTAACCCCAGTGTTTGGTATATAAAGAAAGCACTCAGAAAATTTTTGCTAAAAGGATAGATGAAATGATCCCAATGAATGATGAATATCTACTAATTTCAGAACTGAAGCCCAAAGTACTTAAAGATAGGTGTTTTCCTCTTCTATGCTGGAAGGGATGGCTGTTACTTAGTTTTCAAATGGCAGTTTGCTGAAGTGGGGTAGTAATGAATAATACAGAGGAAGAGAATCACAAGAGAACAATTTAAGATGATGATGGAATAAATATTTAAAAGTGTGATATGAAGCTGTCTCTTGGAAGGGAGAGGTATGGCATTAAACTAATTCATTCACCATTCTGTCTAGCCAGGGAGATGAATTGCTTCCCCTAAACACTCAACTATTTTTTTTTCTTTCGTTATAAAAGTTTTTCTTCCTTCCTATCAAATTATAAGCTGTGAGGGGCAAAGTTCATTCTAACCATACCGTAGTCTTAGATCTCCTGAAACATGTTCGGAAATAAGCCTATTAGCATTCCATTTTGGGCTGTCAGATGTAAAACAGAGCTCCACAAGCTTTGTAGGCTGGATGAGATTAGAGAACCACCGTGAACAGAGTTTTGGGCCCTGTCTACCCGGAGTTGACCCAGCTGTTTCCAGGTGGCATCTGAAGTCCTCGTTGAAAATCACTCTCTTTTGCCGACTTTCACTCGTCACCTCTGGTTGCTAGTTGAACTTTAGGTTACCCTCCAGAGAGCCTGGGTGACACTCATCGTGAGACTCACCTTGATTACCAGGTGACCTGTGGGCAGCTTGACTTCAGGATGAAGGATTAAGTAGCAGTGAAATCATGACTCCTTCGTAGTTGTGAGGTGATGCTGGAGAGTCCACAAAGAGTTGATGGAGATGGAAGGAAGTGGAATCGTTTGATAGATTTCATGTGGTAAAAAAAATTAACCATCTTTCAGCCGTTTCAAATATGTTACAGTGGCTTTAGCTAAAATTAATATATATACGTATTATACATTTATAAATGTATATATTAGACATTAACATATTGACCAGAGCCCTAAAGATTTATAGGCCAAAGTTTCAAACTATTTTGAATATGAACAAGAAACATAGTAAGAAACATATTTTATGTAGCAATCGGTACATACATAGCTCTGTACTTATTTTGTATATAACAAGTGTTTTATAACACTTTTATTCTAATACATTCCATTCTGTTTATTTTTTTAATTTTTTTATTTTTTTGAGTTGGAGTCTCACTCTGTCGCCCAGACTGGAGTGCAGTGGCCGCTCCCGGCCACCGCAGCCTCGACCTGCTGGGCTCCGGCGATCCTTCCGCCTCAGCCTTCCAAGTAGCCGGAACTACAGGCATGCGTGGTAGCCCACGCCCGGCTAATTTTTTGATTTATTGTGGAGATGAGGTCTCGCTGCCCAGGCGGGTCTCGAACCCGTGGGCTCAGGCAATCCACTCACCTCAGCCTCCCAGAGGCGCGGGATTACAGGCTGAGCCACCGAGCCTGGCTTGTTTATTTTTTATAATTCAGATCACTGTCCTCCAAATCAGTTTTATTACCCACTGATGAGCTGTGACATTGAGTTTAAAAAAATTCTGTTCTAGAGCAGCTTGAAATTTGTTGTTTTTATAGATATGCATAGTCAGTGTTTTATATGCTGAAGAATTGTAAAATTTAGAGTTAGAAGTTATTTTAACCGTGGATCACAGAATTATCAGAGAATTTGAAATCAAAAGGGACTAGATCTCATCAGCTCACTCATTTTAAAGCTAAGGATTGGGGTCAGAGATTAGCAACTCATGCAGAATTGCACTAATATACTTCTAAGCATAATTTAAGAATATATATGATCTCCACTTCTCTCTGTACTTTGCTCCATAAGTCTCATTATGGTAACAACATTTTGGAACTGTCAGGTTGGCTACAGTGTGGTCACAATTATAATTCAAGTCAGTTCTGTGATGTTCTTGGCTCTTGCTGCTGATACCATAGCAAGCAGGCTGAGCTGCTTGGCGGCTATACTGACTGGTCCTAAAATGCAGCTGTTTTTCTTTAACAAACTTGAAGGACAGTCAAAGTATTTATATTGAGGATCACAGAGCCACTGTAAGTTGGCAAAACCTATAATTAAACCCAGAATCACAATTGTGGTAATTATTGAAGAATAGGTAGGTAGGTGAGTGGTCTTATCTTGATTTTACAGAAAGGGAAAATGAAACAAGTCAAAGTGATAGCTTAGTCCACAAGTTACCTTAGAATATTTGTGAGTTCTTTTCAAGGAGAGCCTATTGCTTTGGGGCAAAAGGTACTGACAGTGAAGGAACAGGAGCCACCAAAGCCAGTGATTTTCCTTCACAATCAGAAATGGAATCATGTTTTGGCTTATAGTTGGACCTGATTGCATTTCAGTTTCTTCATTCATTAGAAATGACACAAATTAAATCACTTCTTTAGCACAGGGCCTGATATGTAATTAATAAATGATTCTCAATGTGGTCATGCTTTTATTTGTAGAATGACATCTTTTTTATTTTTTTAATTTAATTTTATTTTTATTTTTATTGTGAAGTTATGGGGTACAGTTAAGGGTTAGGTATACAATTGCGTTTCATTCAGGCACCCTGTTGATATGGGGTGTTTCCCCGTTCCCAGACAGATATTTGCTACTGTTAATCCCATCTCCCTCCCCCCACCATAGTTTCCCAGTACGGTCAGTCATTTTCGTATAGTATTGCATTGGATGTTTAAGGTCCATTATATGAGTGAGAACATGTGATACTCGGATCTTTGTTTCTGTGAGAGGTCAGAGTGACATCTTTTACTATTAGTAAGTATTCTTTGTGTGTGTACTTGTCCTGTAAATGAAATTATAATCTACAAGTAGTTTTATAACTTTAATTCTTAATGTTATATAATACTTATCTTTCTGTGTCACTCATTTCACTTTTTCCATGTTAGCCACAAAAGTGAAATTCCCCCTACTCTAAGTAAGACTGAGAAATTACAGAAAACTTTGGTAGATTAGTCCTTTGGTATAATTGGAGTTGGTGATATCTCACAGTGTCTGGTATCTTATATTCACTTCTTAGCATGGTGCATAGCTTAGTAATAGCTTGCTTCATTTAAAGCATTTAAATCTTTGCTTCATTTAAGGCAAAGCTCATATGAGAACATGCTTTTCACCAGAAGGGACAAGTGTAATCGTTAATACGTTTGTTTACTTATGAAGTATGTAGTTGATTTTCACAAGGAAAAGGAAAAAAGTCTATTAAATAAAAAATTGTATCTTACAATGACTTTCTATTCAATCACTGTCACGATGCATGAACTTTGTTCCCTTCTACTGTGTAGGAACCCAAGCCAGACCGTCTCCTTGTGTTGAAGGTACTATGGAATGATTTCTTGATGTGCTATTCTTCTCGCCCTCTACTCTGCTGGTCGGTGTGGTGGGCCCTCTCCACCTGTGGCTATTTTCAAGTTGTGAACTACACACAGGGCCTGTGGGAAAAAGTGATGCCTTCTCGCTATGCTGCTATCTATAATGGTGGTGTGGAAGCTGTTTCAACCTTACTAGGTAAGCAGTGCAGGTGGTACAGGGTGGTGGGGAAGGGAGATTTCACTGGTGGCTAAGCCAACATGACCACCTTTATTGTCAACTCCCACTTTTGAAGTAGCCCCCAAAATTGATTTATGCATTTTGAGTTCTGATTTTGTAATTTAGGAGGACAACTTAGAAGTACTCAGGTGGCAGAGGAATATGACTAATAAGCTTGAATTTTTTTTTGATAAGCTTTGGGGAAACCTAATATAATAATCTTCCAAATTGTTTTCTTATCTAGGTTTTCATTATCTCTGTATTTACTGGGTGGTTCTAGCACTTAATTTGAAGTGTTGAATAACAATGTAAAATAGTTTATAAAAGTAATAGCAATATCTATTTAGTGTTAATATGTGCTAGGTGCTATTCTAAGTACTTTACATATATTAACTCAGTCCTCCCAAAATTCCTGAGGTAGGTACAACTGTTTTACACATTTTACAGTGGACACTTGGGGAAGGTAGGTTAATTACTTGTTCAAGGTCATATGGATGGTAAGTAGTCAAGATTTTAACTCAGCAGGGTGCCTTCAGAGCCTGTGTCCTTGACCATCTTTATTGTTGGGAAATTTTATATGATTATGCATACACTTATTAACTACCTAGCACTTAGAAAACACTCCTTTCTAGACTGCTCCTTGGTTTGAAGGAGAGATGACTCATCCTGTCATGTTGCCAAGCTAGAAGCAGTGGCTCTTATTGACGCTTGCCTCTGCTTCAGCTGCAGTACTTTTTTCTTTAGCAGTATCCCTGGGTCTGTGTCCTCCTTTTCCTTCTCATTGCCATGTGTCCTCATTCAGTCTCTCATCTTTAGTGGCTTCATTTTATTTATTTCAAGTCCAAAATTCTCTGCCTGAGTTTCAAGCCTCCATAATCTTGAGCTTACCCTGTTTATTAGTTTGAAGTTTTAATAATATAAGCTGAGTTTTTAATGTATTGAAATAATATGGCTGAGTTTCAAGCCTCCATAATCTTGAGCCTACCTGTTTATTAGTTTGAAGTTTTAGTAATATAAGCTGAATTTTTAATGTCTTGAAATAATATTTATTTAGCAAAATAACTAGATTACTGTTTTTGTTTCATAGGTGCTGTTGCCGTGTTTGCAGTTGGTTATATAAAAATATCCTGGTCAACTTGGGGAGAAATGACATTATCTCTCTTTTCTCTCCTGATTGCTGCCGCAGTGTATATCATGGACACTGTGGGTAACATTTGGGTGTGCTATGCATCCTATGTTGTCTTCAGAATCATCTACATGTTACTCATCACGATAGCAACGTATGTATTTTGGCTCAAAGAAGCATTAGGAAAAGATGTAACAGGATAAACTTTTGAGTTTCTAGTTAGAAGAGGCAAATGGGAGGAGGCATTGTTTTATGTACATTTTCAGTTTTTTTTATCTTGAGGAAGCATTTAGGCAAGGTTCACTTATTCTCTTGTTTCCATGTTCCTACTGTTTTGGGATGTTTGCATGAGATTTATATATCATTTAGCAACAAAATATTTTTCAGTTGTTTGGGAAGTGAATTTACAAGTAGAAAGAAGAGGCTACTCTTCACATTTAAAGTAAAAATTGTCTATTCATTCTTCTTTTATTTTTTTAGTTTTCAAATTGCTGCAAATCTCAGCATGGAACGCTATGCCCTAGTGTTTGGTGTAAATACCTTCATCGCCCTGGCACTGCAGACTTTGCTCACTCTAATTGTGGTAGATGCCAGCGGCCTTGGCTTAGAAATTACCACTCAGGTAAGATCTCTCTTTTGACACTGAAGATAAGATGACTTGATCAGGATGACAGAGGTGGAACATGCTTAATGAAAACAAATTCAAACAATATGGACAGATATAAAGTAAAAGTGTTCTACCCTTCCTTCAGTCACCACCTTTTCCGCCATCCTTAGTTCTTTTCCACCTGGAGGATGTTGGGATTATAATTTTTTTATGAGGTCCCAGAACATTCCTGAGTGTAACTCCTGTGGGACTATTTCAGTTGAGAGGTAATATTGATTCTCCAAGCCAAGTTCTTCTGCTTTCTCATCTATCATTTCCCCTCTGTTCTTAATTCTATGCTTGGATGCCCTGCTTCATCTCACAGCTCTCTGAGCCTCCTCTCTTCTTTATTTAAAACACCCCTTACCCAAATACCAAGGTAATGACTTCGGTTGAGGAATAGCATTATGATTCATAACATATGACCTGTTGAGAAAACACCTGCACAAACACCTCAAAACAACATGAATACTTTTTCTCATTTAGGAGTTATGTAGTTTTATGTGCTTTCATGCATTGTTGCTCTGTGCTTTGACAAAGTAGGCAACTGAATCAAGAGGTCTCTACCCACCCCATTCCAGCCCAAATAATTTCTTCCCCCATTATTCCCCCAATACATATTACCTAATATTTTAAACTTATGTATTTGTTTTCTCAGCATACAAAGACCCAGCATATTAGTAGTAATTAACTTTGCTTTTTACTGAAGAGATCTAAAAGAGAAATAAATAATAACAAATTTTGTGCATTGAGTGCCTTCTATGTGCCAAGTACTTGATATAGAATTTTCAGGGTTGTTGCTAGGATTAGACATCGAGAAAATGAGTCAGAGATGTTAAGTGACTTGTCTAAGATCACACAATAATAGTGTAGCAGAGCTAGAATTTAATTCAACCTGTAACCTTACTTCAGGATGGAGAGTAGGAGAGACACTACATGTCTGTCTTCCTGCCTATTTGATAAGGAAGAGTCCCCATGACTATTATAGTTGAGGAAAACATGGCAACATTTGAAGTAGAAATCTGACAGCACCCTCTTGTAGAAATGGTAGATTTAGTCTGGACATGGTGGCTCAAGTCTATAATCCCAGCACTTTGGGAGGCCGAGGCAAGAGGATTGCCTGACCCTGTGGGCTCGAGACCAGCCTGGGCAACATGGTGAGACCTCATCTCTACAATAAATCAAAAAATTAGCTGGACGTGGCAGCACATGCCTGTAGTTATGGCTCCTTGGAAGGCTGAGGCAGAAGGATCACCGGAGCCCAGCAGGTCGAGGCTGCGGTGGCCAGGAACGTGCCACTGCACTCCAGCCTGGGTGACAGAATGAGAGACTCCAACTCAAAAAAAAAAAAAAAAGAAAAAGAAAAGAAAAGGTAGATTTAAACATGTGGAATAATAGGAATTTATGGTTTGTGCTAAAACTCTGTCATGATTCATTAATGAACTTTCTATAGAAATGTAGCCAACTTTGAAAGAACCTGGCTCAGAAATTTAAGGCCATATTCTTATGGTACCTTTTAACCAGCTTATAAGTAATTTATTATCTTATTTTAAGAAGATGATGATGATGTTAATAAGTTATATAGTCATATTTTTTAAATTGGCTTAGGGAAGATTCCTATTAAAAAGTAATCCTGTGATGGAATATGATTGACCTTCCACTGCCCTCTTCTGGGGAAGAATAAAAATTCTTGATCTTCAGATGTTGGCCTGTTGTACTTATCTATCAACTTGATGTTAGAGACCATGACTCAATTATAACAGTAACAACAACAACAATAAAAGCAATAGTATTCACATTTTGCTAATACGCATTTACATGCCTGATCTCCTTGACTCATCCCAACAACTCTGAATAGCCAGGTTCCTGTAAAGCAAGAAATACAAACTTAATTTTGTCAAGGCTCAGAGATCAAGTATTTCAATCAAGGTCACACAACTTACAAGGGATGAAGTCAGGATTACACTTGGGCAGTCAGGCTTCAGTACCACCATGCTGTGCTGCTGCTTGTGTCTTCGGTGCCTGGCACATAGTGTAAGCATGCAATGTTTTTTAAAGTTTTATTGACAAATTCTGACACCTTTAATTATAGAGTTTGCTCACATATTTGTAATAAAACAGCTCATCTTCTAATTGATAATTTTGTAAATTACTGTGTTTCCCCTTCTAGTTTCTGATCTATGCTGGTTATTTTGCACTCATCGCTGTGATTTTCCTGGCTAATGGTGCAGTCAGTATTATGAAGAAATACAGAAAGCAGGAAGACCCAGAGTCAAGTTCTCAAGTAACCACTTCATAAGACACTACTGAAGAGCTTCTTCTTATAGCAAGAACTCTGCATTACAGCTGCCTGGATGTATTTAATTTTTTTAAAGTATAAACATGTATTTATGAATGTACATTTCATGGCTTCAAAGCATCCACTTGACTAATACTCTGTGTTCCTGGAGTAACATGATACTGTTCAGAGGAGCCAGAAGTAAAAATTTATTTCATGGATTATTTATGAAAACTAATGATGACTTTCTTCTGATTCAGAAGTGAACTTGATTTTAAAAACCAAGTCATCAAGAGCAATCAGGCAGCATATGGTGTTGTATACTTGATTAGAAGTGTGTTTGATGTTTTATAGGTCATGTACGTCTGTATCCACTTAGCCATACACTTGGCCTGGTGGGACCAGGGCTTCACAGAGGCCACAAGATGTTACAAGTCATGATGGAAATAGTTTAACAGCACTTGCCTCTATTCAACTTAATTCTTATTTTCATGTTACTCCTGTGCATTTGTGTTTCTACAAATGAAAGTTGTTCTATCATCAGCAATATTTGCTCTGGTTTAGTGTTCTGTCCTATAAAAAATATGTGTCATTTCTAATTTTAAGTTATTTTTAAAAATCCATTGTATGAATGTTCTCTGTTCCCATCTTGACAATTGTGTATATGTATAGATTTTCCTTAAAAATACATTTTGCATTATTCATATGCTTCCCAGAGAAGCTCATTTAGTTAGACAAGAAGGCAAGTTTTGAAGCCTGATAATAATTTAAATGAAGAAAGTTAATCAGAAAATTTAAGATAGGTTTGCTTGTCTTTAATTTTTTGGTATGAAGGACTGTTAATTCCATGATGAAAAGTTCCCATGGGCTAAAGATATACCTAGCCCATTTTGTATTTGCATTCCCTTTAATTTCCAAAATAAAACGAAAACGTCTTTTTAAAAAGATGCCTTCATCCCATTTATAGCTTTTATATTAATTTGTCTTTCTTATCCAAGTAAAGATATCAGTAGGAGTTGGATTATTCCAAGGCATTTTTTATAAATTGAGCCTCTTTTTAATTATGTCAGTGGAACAGGAACTAGGATAGATTTGATTCTTGCATTTTGTACCTTAAATCTGCCTTTGTTTCTAAGGGTAAATCATCTTGAATATGCTTAAAATAAGAATTGCTAGTGATTACTTGAAAAAATGTTGTTCTGTATTCATTTAATTCTGAAATCAATCTACCAAGGGGCTGCTAGTATATGTGAGACATGAAAACTATTTTAAAGCCGACTTTGTTGCCTTATCTTGAAAAGACTCTAGATAGGTGCTTTCAACTGGGGTGTTAACTTTTTTTAGAATGACACAGCTAAACAGTGTTGCTATAGTGTCAAGATTGCAAAATTGACATTCATTTGATTTAAGCAGGAACTCAAGAAGCAAATGGATGAGGTTAAGAATAGGTCATTTTCTATTCACCTTACTTTAACAACCAAGGGAAAGTAGAAGAACACTAGCTAAGGAAAGGAAAGGGATGTGGTGTCATAAAAGTAGCAACTTCCAATTTTATATTTTTTTCTTTCTCTTTTGTTTCTTCTTTTTGCTTAATTTTGGTTTTGCTGTATAGGGAATTGTTTACCCAGAAACAAGTAGAAAAGTGTTTGAGGGAGAATCTTTTTTTGTTAATAGAATGTGGTACAAATTGTTCACGTTACCAAAGCAATATTTCCCTGGAATTTAATTCAAAGTTGTGGCACACAACCTGAGCCTTTACTTGTTTAAGACATGAATATGTTCACATCTTGGTGTGTGGCCATACTTGTAGAATGCTGAACCCAATGTGCAAGTTGTACTGTATGCAGTTTTGCAAAGAAGTGAAAATAATTTGTTGTACTTTTTATTCAATTCTATATAGATTATAAACTTATTTTTATTAAATAAATATTTTACTGTATGTTTTCCCTTTTCAATCAAAATTATTTAACTTTATCTTCGGTTTCAGTAGGAGCTTTAGATTACATCTTTAAATCTTTTAATACTTTCTCCTAGGACTCCTAGGCTTTCTCCTTAAATTTCATATTAAGTCTTCCCCTTGTCTAACCTGTCCAGTTGACCTTTTGTCATCCTGTTAATTCTTCTGTTGCTTTGACTCTTTCTTTACCTTTGACTCTTCCCCTTTATTTCTGTTGTTTCCCAATTTTTCTGGCACCACGTTGCACTGTTTTTCTTGGTTTTCATCTTGACATCTTTAATACAGTATCTCTTTTTAAAGCATTCTTTCCTTTACAAACCAGAAGACCCACACTCCTTTTGACTTTTTTAAATAAAGGAAATAAAAGCAAGGGCAGAAAGTACCATCTTGTTTTGAAACTTCATAGCTTGTTTGTTCCACCTCAAAATATTTTGATATCCAGGGAAGCATCTTCTTGTCCTCAGCTGAGAATCGTTTGTTCATTATATCCAAAAACTAAATCAATCTTTTCTCACAGGTATCCAAATATATCCCATTTCAAAACCTACAAACTAAGACATTGGTTTCACTATCACCAAAGACAGAAAATTTTTATGCAAAAAATGTTTTGAAAATAATTTTATGGTCCTATAGTTACATTTGCAATGTCTTATTACCTTTCAGATTATTAACCTTCTGAGCAGAGACCATGTCTTATTTTTGCCTTTTGTTGCAAAACAGATTGTGTTGCTGTATGAATATTGAATTATATAATGGTATGTGATGAACTCAACATAGCCACCTGCCAATATGAGAGCTAAATGCTCATCATTTTTAAAAAGTACATCAGCATAAAATGATTACGATTCAAATGCCTATTAGTCTCTAGTATTACTGAAAAAAATTAGGGGAATTAGTACTACTACAAAATCTTTTTCAAGAATCAAAGGAGATAATATTAACAAGATGCCCTTCCCCAAATATAACATGTTAAACAAATGTAAGGTGTTATGGGGAATACGACAATACATAAAACAAAAATATCCTATTTCTATCATTCAAGCATAACAATGCAGCGGACTAGATAGACATTTTAATCTTAATCATTTAATGTTCATATGCCAAATAGAAACAAAGGGCTAATTTGAGGTTGCATGGTTAACATTCTAGAATGCCTGTATTTCAAAAGGTGGCTTATAACATTTATAACCCGCCCAAGAACACACATCTGAAATGGATAAGCCGGGATTCTGATTCCTACGTTATCCTACAAGCGGCTGGTCACTTTGGCCCTTGTTCCCCTATCAAGCCTGTAAAATCTCAGTCGCGGTGGGTAGAGGGGACGGGGGAGGGGACCTTGCTCAGAAAACAGCCCAAGAGAGGAAGAATGCCAGGCAGCTCTCGGATGGATGTGCCCTGCAATGAATGGGTGGTCAAGTGGCAGAGGAGTGAGGCGCCTCGGTAGCCAATTTGTGCAGGCTGGGTGACTCTAAGCTGCTGGAAACTCGAAGCCCCGCCTCCCCGCCAAGGACATGCTGAGCTTCTGGACGAGAAGTCCTCTCCCGGGTCCTAGCCTTGCGCGTGCGCACTGCCGACTCGCTGGTCGCCGGCGCCAAACCTGGGCGTCTGCTGTCTCCAGCTTCTCCGCCCGTCAGGGTGTCCACACTTGCTTTCCCAAGGAAGCGGCTCTCCAGCCGGGCCGGCGCAGGAGGGGCAGTCGAGCTTTGGAGAGCTTGTTTGCTTATAAAACCCGAGCTATGTGCTGAAGTTGACCATTTTCTGAAACTTCTCCAAAACCCACACCAAGCCCCAGCACGCAGGAAACCCCCAGTGAAATGTCAGGTGTCCGGGAAGCGCTTCGGCTGCTGTCGAGACGTTTTAAACGTAATCAGCATGGACCGCCGCAAATCACCCACTGAAATAGTTTACTACCTAATTGTCTTCCTTTAAAATAAGCGAACCGACGGGACAAACACCCCTTTCCAAAGGAAACTGTTAACCTCCAGAAAAAGTCATCAGATGAATCACAGTGTTAGGTCAGTGTGCCGGTGTCAGGGAAAGATGCAAAGAATTGAACAAGAAGTAGGTTAGAAAAAGTGTATTAGTTCCGGCTACTTGGAAGGCTGAGGCGGAAGGATCCCCGGAGCCCAGCAGGTCGAGGCTGCGGTGGCTGGCGGTGGTCACTGCACTCCAGTCTGGGCGACAGAGTGAGACTCCAACTCAAAAAAAAAAAGAAGGTAAATTAGAAAAAAAGGTTGATCCACCTCCTCAAGACTGAAGAGGGGGCCAAACACTGAAGAAGCGTTTGGTGCCCAATGTTTGAAGCTGGGTGCTTATACGACTTCCTTCAGTGGGCTGGGAACAGGAGCATATCTGTGAAACGTAAGGGCGCGGGGGAGAAGGGGGAGGATGGCAGCAGCCAGGTCGTTGATTACTAGGCGGGAACAGTCGCCCAGGGTCTGTAAAACAAAGTTTCAAGACACAAACGTTACGTTTCAAACGTCCTTGGATTTAGGGAACAAAAAGGCATTGAGCTGGGAGCGTGTTGTCCGTGGGAAAATTGTAGGAGGGCTTGGAGTCGTCCATAACGGTTTGTTTCTTTTATCTCAGTGTTCAAACGGTTTGTCTTGTAAGACAGCTAGAAACATATCCTTGGAGCAAGATGGTAATGATAAAATCTTAATGCCCGATAATGGGGGGGGGGGAGGTTACAATTGCACTCGTTTTACTGTTGGTGACTTTAAACAGTGGAGTTAACTGAACTTACTTCAGAGCAAGAGAGCAGAGCCGATTACACAATAAAATATTATTTACTAAAGTATACCACTAGTTGGTATTTATAACAACAAAAAATAAAAGCCAATGCCCAGCTGCCTGCCTGCAATGGTCAAGTAACACCATTTTGGATTTTTTTTTTTTTGACCTTTCACACAGCCTCAAATACTGCCCCAAATGCTGAAATGTTAACAAAAACTATTTACAAGTGGGGACCCAAAAAGCTCCGGAATTTATTTATTAAAAAATTGTATATTTATTCTCACATATTTACACTCCAGCCACCTTCAAAGTACTCTCCATTTGATGCAACACACCTATTGAGAGGCTTTTTCCTTTGCTCAAAACAAAATTGAACTCATCAACTTTGATGCATTTTAGTGCTCTGCCCTTTTTGTTTCACTTCTTACAGATTGGCAAGATGCTTCCCTGTGAGGACTTTTTTCTTCCAGGGAAAAAAAAATCACTCAGGGGAGATCAGGTGAATAAGGAGGGTGGGGCCCAGGAATCATGCCATTTTGGTCACCGCTAAACATTCAGCATGTTGTGAGCAGGTTGTTTGTGTAAATCACTCATCATGATTGCCATCAGGAAAACATGTTGAAAGAATCTCCAAAAAAAATGGACTGAAGCTGAACGCAACCTCTCGCAACAACGCTAGCTGGTAAGTACACTGATGCCAATGGCACTTACTCAGCAGGGGAAGCCTGTGCTACAAGGAACTCACTCTCTAAAAAGTAATTCTGGGTTTTTTTGGGTCCCCCTCATAATACTTAAATATTTAGAAACCCCTAAGTATTGTTCATCGGTTTAATATAGCTCAAGTTTCTCTTTCCTCGCCCTGCCCTCTCTTTTTTTCCTAATATCAAATTGCATGACCTGACCGTTTTCCCGCACAGGATGCCAAAAACTGTGGAGAACCTTACTTCAGATGTCTTGAAAGGGTTGACAAAAATGAACCTCTAGATAAGCACAAATAGATGGGGCACTTGGACAGAACAGCTACCTGGAAATTCTTGCCTATGTCTCATGCTTGGCTAATTGAGAAGCCATATCCCAGAGAATATCCGCAGTGGGAAATTATCCAAGTAACCAACAATAGGCTTAAAAACAGAGTTTTATCTCCAACTCCTGTAATTAACTTCCCATGATAGTTTTTGAACCTTTACTTCCACCCTGCCATTTTCTCTGCATTTTGGGCTCCTTAGGTATAGGCCATTTTATGCAGACCTATAGTCATATTTCCAGATCCGTTTTATTTTATAATTTATTCTATTTTATTTTATGAGCAGGGAACTCACTCTTTCACCCAGTCTGGAGTGCAGTAGCATGATCATGGCTCACTGCAGCCTCGTGCTCCTGGCTCAGGAATCCTCCTGCCTTAGCCTCCCAAGTAGCTGAGACTACAGGCACCCACCACCATGCTCAACTAATTTTTTGATTTTTTTGTAGAGATAGGGTCTTGCTATGTTGCCTAGGCTGGTCTTGAACTCCTGGGCTCAATCAGTCCTCCCTCCTTTGCTTCCCAGAGTATTGGTATTACAGGTGTGAGCCACTGTTGGTTTTAATATAAAGATATGGCTATGTCTATTGAAGAAAGGATTCCAGCATTAAGCCAAGAATTCTGGATGGGCGCAAAGGTGGTCCCAGATGGGCAGAAACCCTTAGCTTCTAGTAAAAGCAATATTTAAAAACTCATCTGTAGAGGAAAGCATGTGCATTTATGCACAGTGTGGAATAGGAGAGCACAGAGCAGGGGACTCCTTAATCTTCAGTAACTAACCTCCTAGAAAGTGGCCTAAAATCCTATTTTAAATATAGATAAAATTTTACTAATTGAGTTTCTGTTTGGCAAACATTCTGATTCTATGATTCTTTTGATATTATTTTCCAGTTTTAAAAGCATTATGTATTTATGGCAGAGACTTTGGGAAAATAAAAGAGCATAAGAAATGATCATTGCTCTTAATATTTGCCAACTCTAATCCCATATGTGTGATTTTTATCTTCCTACAATCTCCAAGAAGCCCAGTAGAGCATGAATAGATAAATAACACAACCCTTGACGGCAAGTCACATTCAGATCAAATAAATATGTAAAATATTTACTAGTAAAAAATAATCAATTGTTAAACATTAAAGACATTATTTTTGAAATCACCAATACATAAAGAAACAAGCAACCATAAGTGAGTGTTAACAGAAACAACAAAAACACACTGAGTACAAATGATTTCAGAT